GATTTCGCCCTCATTTGGTAAGAACTTTATGATCTGAGTTCTGGTTTCCTATAGACACAAGCCCCTATAGTTAATTACCCCTCCCGATCACGAGAGAGAACTTTCGATTAAGGCTAGCCATCAATCAGATACATAGAGATACGTGTTATCTGGCATATAGTAGCAGCAATGGACATTTGAAATGATTGGAGAATTTGATATTTAAAATAGAAATTGTACCATCTCGCACTTAAAGCGGATGGTCGGGGAAAGGATGATGGGCCCGATTAGGATCCCATGGTTCTGTCGTCCCGGGCTATCGTGGTCCCTGGTCTACTTAGTCAGAGGAGGTAGTCGACCCAACCTGACAGAATGATCCTTGTCGGCAGCCATGGGTTGCTTCGTCCAAGGGGACCTTGTAGAACTAGGTTGAATGTTTGTCTAAGGGAACAAATTTGAATCCACCTTAGCTAATAGAGGGCTTTGTGCCCTATCGATCATATCCTATTGATTCATATCTCAATGATTTAATGTCATAAGGAGCGTATTGGCTCTGGCCATAATCAAAATTTCGTGGTGCCATTTGGCGGCAAAACCACTCGGTTCAGAGGGCCCCGGGTCGTCATAACCGTTTATCCTGCGGTGCCATTTGGCTGCAAAACTGCCGGTTAGAGGACACATACCACGTCCTTATTGGCAGGAAATTGTTTGAGAATGGATCCTAGTCATATTTTCGATTAGGCATTTCGCTCTTTGTGAGCTAAAGTAAATTTTAATTTTTCCACCTCGACAAACTGTTACGGAGGGTAAATGGATTTTGCTTTAAGTTATTGATGGATAATTTCAATTTTAAATATTTGAGATTTTGAGATTTGTGGAGTTTGAATTTTAAATGGACTTTTGGAAGACATTTGAAAGTATTCGTGAACCACTCCAGTTGAGATTAGCAGTCAACACGGCCATCATTGGGGTGTTTGGGGTCATTTTTCTTTATTGATTGAACCCTGTCAACTCGACCAAGCTGTTGCTCGAGGATCGGGTTTCTCGTAGGCTTTATGCCTTTGTTTATGACTTTTCTTTATTATAGACCTTGAAAGCCTAATATGAATATATTTAAAACAAATACACCGGTCCCTACAACCGTAAATTTATTTGAAGCTTCGAGCCCTGTCGACTCCTATTGATCGGGTTCGAACTTGAATTCACTTATTGATCCGCGCAGCATCCCTATGCGTCACGTGTGTACCAATAACACACTCGTCGGGGCCCATGCGGGTGGAGATTGCATTTACTCCTTTAGTGTACCTATGTGTATGCAATTTATGGTGCACGTGCAGGGGTATTTTGAAAGTATTTGTAGACGCCTTTTGTGTGCTTGTATGAGTGTTGCAGATCTGGTGGTGTTGAGGCCTTGATATTGACTCCCCCTTTCTCATTCACCGGGGAGATTCTTCTGGAATTTGAAGTCTGTTGCTTTGAAGATAACTCCTTTTGAGGTCGTCGGTGTAGTGGACTTGTTGTCTCTGATGTTCGTAGATATCAGAACTATTTTCTTCCTGAGTATAGGATCAAGAAGGAATTTTACAACATCGGGAAGTTTAGTTCTAATTTGTTATCCACAAGTATTCATTTGCTGGGATCCATACTTGTGTCCACAGCGGTTCATTGTACTTACAATGCATTGTTATTATCCACAAGTGTTCGTTTGCAGGGAATAGTTGTATCCACTACGACCTCCTGAAAATATTCGTAGGAGAATCATTGTCCTTGCATCACATCCACCTTTCACCAATCTCAGGTGGGTTTGATTGTACTTGTTTGTAGGGGACGAATCTTCCACTATCAAATGCCAGTTTTGCCATCTCAATCTGCAGGCATTTGTAGGAATTGTCGTAGGAGTTCGTTGCATTCATCTTTCGTGTGCATCGAGATTTCATCTCCTACTTGCAACTTGTTGTTAGCTTGGACGACTGTGCACTTAGACCTTGATTTGTTCATTCATCCAAAGCCCAGTTCTATGTATTCCATCGAACCCAAGTTCAAGGTTCAACTCATGCTTGAGTCTTGTGTGTTGTTCTTGAAAGTTCAAGTTCTTTATTGCTCATGTCAAATTTGGATCCAACTTGAGTTTAATTTGAGTTCCTTGCTCTCCACACCTTGTTCCAGTTTTGAGTTCGGAGTCTTCTAAAGTCTTTGCAAGTTCAATTACATGTTCAAATCGATTTTGATTTCAACCCCAATTTGATTTTATTTATTTGGGTTTGAGCCTTGATTAATCATTTAGATTTTGTTCGTATTCAAGTCCGAAAGTCATCTGTTCTTCACACAAGTCCTCTATATTATTGCCCAAATGAGATCTTCTTATTGTTCAGGCTTTATGTACTTCAGTGAAAATTTCGGCATCACCCCGGCATATCCCCTGTTTGGGGGAAATGTAGGGAAGCTGGGCCTTCCCACCACGCTACTCGAGCATGTATGGTAGGTGTCCTTAGACACCGCGGCCGTATAAATTTTCTTCCCACCACGCTACAAAAGCGTGTATGGGGCCTTCAGCAGTACCCGTACCAGAACACCAGTGGCTCTCCCCACCATGCTACAAGAGCGTGTATAGGCTTACCCTTCTCACCATATGCGTCGCACCGGGCTCCGTCCTACCGTGCTACAAGAGCGCGTATAGGTGGTTCTCCGGTCCGCCGCTAACGCCGAGAATGGGATTTGGAACATTATACCTTTACGTAGCAGTGTCGGCGGCGATGTCGAGGTCGAGGACCGTCCCTACCGCGCTATTGGAGAGTGTATAGGGCTTACCCGCCTCGTCGTACCTGTCGCACCGGATTCTCCCCCATCGTGCTACAAGAGCGCGTATAAGGGATCCACCAGGCAGGATTTAAGTTAGAAATTTATACCTTACGGCCCGGCGGACTAGCGGTGGAGGGAACGGAAACCGAGTCAGGAGGAGCAAGCATACTTCTTATAATTAATCATTAATTATAGTTACATTTAATTAATTAAGTTTATTTATAGCTAACTATAATTAAATAAATTAATTAATTATAATTATTATAATTAATTAAAATAATTAATTATATTTAACTTTTATTAATCAGAACTAATTAATATTAATTAATTAATAATAATTAATTGTAATTAACAATAAAAAAGATTATAATTAATTAAGATTAACTTTAATTAAATTAATTATAATAAATTGACATTAATTATAATTATTTTAATTAAAATAAATTATAATTAATTATAATACATATAATTAATTATAATACATATAATTAATTAAAACAACTATAATTAAAAAAAAAACAACTATAATTAAAATTAATTTTAATTGAAAACTAAATAACTCCTCCCTCCCTCTACCTCTCTGTTCGGCGAAGTTACGGGATTTGGCCGGATTTAGGCTAAATCCAGCCAACGGTTTTGGTGCGCGCGTTAAATCCCGGAGATGGTTAAATCCCAGATTAAGGATTTACGGCTTAATCCCGTATTTACTAAATCCCTTGGTTCGGCAGATTTCAGGGATTTGGCCAAAAAAGAACGCAACGAGCTCCTGTTGTTGTTTCCGATCTAAAATGTCGTAACTTCCGGACTTTCACAGCGTGCGGAGCTCCCGTCCGGTTCCGATCAAAGTGTCTTGGTTCTGATCCGACAAGGAGGGAACGCCGCTGGTGGAGCACAGTCGAGCAGCGACAGAGCCGTGGGAGAGCGCGAAACGGAGAAAGTTACTCTACAGCGAGCGTGCTCCCGTGCCTGCTCCCGATCGGAATGTTGTAACTCCGATCTGACCGCAAGTGAAAGTCATCGCAGGAGCCGGAGATGGTGCGAGAGAGGGCGAGAGATCGAGAGCGAGAGAGCTTCTTTTTTTTTTTTTAGTAACCCGATGGCTTCGTTCTCGCAGTCTTTTAACGACGCGAGGTCATGCAAATGGCGTGGAGAGAAACGACGGGTAGTGTGAAGTATGGCGAGCACGATGACGTTCGTGGCCGGACAGGTACGTGCGATCCTCTCTCTTTTTTTTTATTTCATTTCAAATCATCACATCGACACCTAATGACCATGATGTAATTCTCATTCACAAGGTGAAGGAGGAAGAGGAGTGGCTAGTTCCATTCCTAAATATGTTATGGATCATCTTTGTCAAACAATCATTCATATGTTGTCTTCATGCTATGCAAAGACCTCCTACAATCAATGAGAAGATACATATTCTAGTTCTAATTTTTGACACAAGCCATGCTTACTACACTAAAGAGGATGTTGGATCTAAATTTGTCCATGAAACATAAGCAAGATGTTATGAGATAAATAATTCATAACCATGTTATAGAAGAATGAGAAAGAAGCTATCTTAGAAAGTCTCTTATAGAACTACTGTATTAGAAAATGATAAAACTTCTTTGAACTACGAAGGACAAGTCAAACCGAGTTAAGGCAACAGTGAAAGAATAAGCGATTTTCTGTATGAGATATTTCTTTAGATTTTATGATTTCGTATGCTTGAAGTCGACTACCAACCAACTATTTATAAGCAAAGATCAAGGTTGATGCTAGAGAGCCAACTTCTTAATTCAACTCTTGGAAATTTCTGAGGTGGATTTTGTGTAATTTGTTGTGTAGAAAGCAAGTAATGCGGGAAATTAGAGGAAACTTCAAGCAAATATACAAGTTGTAGTTTGTGGATGAATCACCTTTGCTAGTTCTCTAATTTAAAACTCTAGGCGTGAACACTAAATTAGTGCTTCAAGAGACTAGGAAGGTATGTGATTTCATGAATCTTTCGGCTAAGTTCAACAGCTGAGTATTGAGGATTGAATTAGGGTTTCAAGCCGATTTGCAGTTGATAATAAGGGAATTCCATATTGTAGGTATAATAAGGGAATTCCATATTGTAGGTATTTCAAGCTAATTTGCAGTCAATTGCATTTATAACTTGATAATGGTTTGCAAAATAATTTGATCAATCTGAACCACCAAAAAAAACTCATAAATTCAGTATTGGCAGTTACCTCTGCAGCAGCAGCCAAATCACATACTTCCTGCAAGGAAGAGCCGGAAAATAGCATTCTATCAACCACTGCAGGTTTTCCAACAGTCAGTGTTCCTGTCTTATCAAATACAATAGTTTTCACCTGTTAAAAAAAAAAACATGGAGAGATGCCCTTTAAATCGAAGGTCTATCACCCTCCTTTGTCCTAGACTTTTTGATATTTACTAAATGATAAATACTTACCTTGTGTGCTTTCTCCAGAGCACTTCCACCCTTTATCAGGACACCTTGAGAGGCTCCTTTGCCAGTGGCAACCATCACAGCAGTTGGAGTTGCCAGACCGAGAGCACATGGACAAGCAACCACAAGGACTGAAATTCCAAACTGGAGTGCCAATTCAAACTCATCCATGCCACTTGGAATCCAAGTCCTTGGATAAAGATGAGCTGCTCCAGGAATGAACCAGCCAAGCCAAGCAAGCAATGCCACCACAACAACCTGAAGAGAATTTTTGTTTAAAGATAGATTGCCATCTGCATCTTCCATTTTCAATGATAATGTATAATACAGTCGAAGCTTAAAAAATAAAAATAAATAAATAAAAGATAACATTATATGGAGCATCTTGCAGTGGCATGCAAGAAGCATTATCCAATCTCAAGGTGAAGTTTATGTAGGGTTTTGAGGATGCAAATAGAATTTCTATTAACTAAGTTCCAAATAAAGAACTAAAAGGTAAATTGAGATGCAGCACATTTTGATCTATTGGTTGAGAGCTTTAACTACCAACCAAGAGGCCTTAGGTTCGAGTCTTGTGTACGTGATGTGTGTAGGAATTTGCCTTAATTGGCCTAAATGTGTAAAAAAAAGGTAAATTGAGTTGAGACCCGATAAATAATATTTCACCAATTAGTCATTGAACCAAATCAAATTTGATTGAGTTTCTGAATCATATCCCTATGCAAAATAATTAGCTTCTCATTAGATCTAGGGTGGGAATGTTGCTTAAGCAAAAACTTAATTAAAACAAAGAACATCATTTCTTCACCTACATTATAAACAATAATTAAAAAACCCATGAACCAGCAGTTATTTTGGGGCTGTTTGGCAACAAATGGGACTTAACTCAAGTGAGATTTAGTACATCCGGTAAATCCAAATTACTAAATCCTATGGGTGTTTAAATCCTAAAAATTGTTTAGCAAAATGGATTTTAAATCCTAATAAATCTTGTAAAACTGTTTGGCAATACAACTCAAGATTTAAAGTGATTAGTTCATTAAAAACTCAAATTTAATGTGTTTTAAATTTAATATGCATTTAAAATACAAGTTAATTATTAATTTCAATTTTAAATATCATTAATAAGTTGCAATTATAAATTATATAATTGGAAGTGAGCTTTAATAACTTAACTAATGATTTGATTATTATTTAAAGTACTAATGACTTAATTACTTATTTAGGTGTTATTTTAATAAATATTTGATTATTAATTATATTAACAATTATCTAATTAATTATTTAATTATTATTTGAAATAACAAATTATTTAATTACTACTTATACTACTCATTTTATAATTAATTTTTAAAATATTATTTAATAAGTTTTTTATTATTAACTTAGACTACTAATGATCTAATTAATCATTTAATTATTTAATTACTATTTACACTATTAATTTTAATTATTTATTTATAATTTAAATTATACTAATTAAACTAATTAGATAATTAAGAACTTTTTTTTTGGTATATAATTAAGAACTATTTGCAGAGGCATCCGATGTCTTTAGGTCTGCGTAGGGTTTACTTTCCCTCTTCTCCATTTTTTCTTGTTGTTCTACTTCGACTTACACACAGTCACGACAGCTCGTCATTATGAATGAGTTGATAAAAGACTTCTTATCCTCTTTCAACGACATTCCTTCTGTCAAATTGTAAGTGACAATAGTTTGTCATTCTTCACATTAGATCAAAAGTACAGTGGCTCGCTCATTGCCTAGATAACCATCTTTCTCACCTTTCGCACACATCTTCGGCCAAATCCCATAAATTCACTGAACTCACGGATTTAGCAAATCTGGGATTTATGGAAAAAAATAAGAAAATGGATAATTTATTTGACTGTGAGATTTAAGATGTCCTCAAATCCTATTTGGCAGAATTTAGCATAAATCCAGTTTAAATCCTGTATAAATCTTGTATCCAAACAGCCCCAAAGTGATCTTTACTCATTTCACCTTTGATAAATGAAAAAGACAAATGAATTTTAAGGAAAAAAAAGGAAAATGTTATGCAATTTGTTTTCTATTCAAAAACTGCTAATCATACTAGTGCATATTTATCGGATAATATGCCTCGCATAACTTAAACCAATAATTTATAAATAAATATGAAGATTAAACAAATAGTACATACTGTGGGAACAAAGACTCTGGAAATTTTGTCCGCTAGTTTCTGGACAGGTGCCTTAGAAAGCTGAGCCGCTTCCACCAGCTGAACCATCTGAGATAAAGCAGTCTCTGATCCCACATGTGTGGCCTTCACAACTATGCATCCATTCTCATTCACAGTTCCACCAATAACCTGCATAAAGTATAGACATTAAATATTAGTTTGCAGCAGAAGAAGGCTAGTACTTAGCCAACCTGAGAAAATGTTAAAATGAAACCTTGTCTCCGGAGCCTTTAGCAATAGGCCTTGCCTCTCCAGTCATCATGCTCTCATTCACATAACTCTGACCACTTATAACAATTCCATCAACTGGTACTTTGGCTCCTGGAACGATCTTAATCACATCATTTCGTTGAAGTAATTGAGTACTAATCTCAGTCTCTGCAATGACATTGTCTCCTTCATCAAAGATCAATAAGGAGGCTGTTTCTGGAGCAAGGTCTGCAAGCTTTGCTAAAGCTTCTGATGTTTTCCCCTTTGCAATTACCTCCAAATACTTACCCAGAAGAATAAAAGAGATTAACATGGCGCTAGTTTCAAAAAAATCCTGCCCTTCAAATGATCTCGATGTTAATGATTTTAACACAACATAAAGAGAGTAAAAGTAAGCAGTATTTGTTCCCATCGCTACCAGAACGTCCATGTTAGAGGAACCTTGTCGCAATGCATGATAAGATCCAATGTAGAATCTAAATTCATATCAAAAAGGAAAAATAAAAAACTTGGTCAAGGCAATGAATCATTTTTCAAAAAACTCAGAAAATATGATTTCTATGCTACGTAAAGCAGGCTCAGCATTAAAAAAGCAAGCAAGTTAGGGCTTAAGAAAAAAGTACCTCCAGCCAATTATAAACTGTACTGGAGAACAAAAAAGCCATCTCAGTAGCATTCCAATGGTTAGATCATTGAATATCTTTGTATATAGCCAGTCCCCATAAGGAGGAAGCATAGGGAGCACCATAGAGAACAGGAATACAGGAACGGAAAACAGACAACTCCAAAGAAACTGGTTCCTATAGACCCGAACCTGATGCTGCCTCTCCATTTCTCGAGGTCTTGGAGCCGAATACAAGCTCACAAGGAAAAGACCAGGGCTTTGGCCAGCTTCTTCAATGCAATGAATAATTGATCTAGGACCAGTAAGGTCAGGATCATATGTAACCGTTACTTTCTGTCCTACTGGATCCAATTCTACATGATTTACACCTTCCATAGCTTCGAGAGATGATTGAACAAGTACAGCATCATTTTGAGAATGAATGCCTACAACTTTTAGATACACTTTGTTTACATCATCCCCAGAGCTGATGAGGTTTGCTCCAAAACCTGTATCTTCAATAGCTTCTATTAGGCGATCAGGATTGGTAATGTCGGGATCAAAGTGAACCTTTGCTTCTTCAAGTGCAAGGCCAACAACAGCTTTTTTTACTCCATCAACCATAAGCAAAGATCGTTCAACAGATTCAGAGCAGCTGGTGCATGCCATTCCTTTAATTCGAATGCAGCATACTGAAATACTCTTATCTTGAAATTCATCAACATTGTAGCCCATATCTTCTATGGCTTCCTTGATCATTTTAGCCTAAACAAAAGGCACAGATAAACGATTTACAAAGTCTCATAGCCAGAAAGATAATAATAGTTACAGCAGTACAATATAAAAACATAGTAAAACTCCCACCACACCCCCAACAAACCCATTCCCCCAGCCCTCAACAAACTCATTTCTTTCTTGATACAACATTTCCTTCTTTTCTGTCGGGTTGGTTTCCTTAAGCAGGCTAATGAATTGATTAAAACATTCACGGGGGACATTATATTCTGCCTTGATGTTTAACATCTTAACAACAACGGATAATTTTGAGTGACAGGTACACCCCTTCATATTGGTTGTTAAGAAGCATGTAACAAATTATAAAAATTTTGTCTCTTTATTAGATGACTCTTCTATATATTGTTCAAATTATGCTTCAGTTGTATCATGAACTAATTCCTCAAGATCATGCCAGATATTTTATTACTCAGCTATATTAAAACTTGTAGACGGACCGCATCGAGAATCGAAATGTAGCTCATACTCACTATAAGAAGTCCAATATCAATATTCTGCCATGAACCCTCTATGGTATAGATCAACAGTTGCATCATCTGGGCTTAGGTGCACTTGATTTTTATATTAAGAATATGGGTATAAAAAGTTTTCATTTGAGATGAAGCTGGGAAGTTGAGAAGCTGTCTGAATGAAAAAATTCACACATTTAATGAACTCATATGTTAATGTCCTTCGTCCTTGCGTCAATCGGTTATACATCAAACTTCTTTGATTTTTTATATCCATAATATAGCCAACATATAATATTAATATATTAGATATTGTTATAACATTTATTGAAGAAAAATAAATGGATTTTAATTTCAAATAAGTCCCCTGTTAATAAAAAATCTAGCAACCTCCCAGCATCTCCCCCATTTAGAGGAAATACAAAGAGTCTTAACATGTCCGGAAGGCCGTCGTTTTATGTGACCAACCATCTAAGGCGACTCTCTAATTTTATCTTTCACTGGAGATACTCCAACCTTTTCACATATATGCTCATTTTCTATCATGTCTATAAAGGTAAATCTACTCATCCACCAGATCATCCTCATCTCTGCAACACTTAACTTAATATTATGCTTCTCTTTTAATGGTCAATATTCTGCATCATAAAGCATTACAGGTCTCATCACCATCTTATATAATTTTCCCTTACGTTTGAAGAGGACTTTTCTATCACACAACAAGCTTGATGCATTCCTCCACTTCAACCATCCAACTAGAATTCTACTGATAATATCCCCATCTATTTCACCATCAATAGATCCAAGATATTTAAAACGTGTACTTTTATTAATGACTTGATCACCCAAAGTCACAATCCCTCAACTAGGTCTATTACTACTAAAATTATACTCCATGTATTAAGTTTTAGATCTACTCAACCGAAAACCTTTAAACTCTAAGGTTGACCTCCATAATTCAAGTTTTCCTTCAATTCCCACTCTAGTCTTATCAATAAAAAGAATATCATCAGCAAAAAGCATATAACAAGGTACATTCCCTTGCAAATGTCTAGTGAGAACATCCATGACTAAAGTAAAAAGATATTAATCTCAACTAAAAATATACACATCAACTATCTCTAGACTCATTAACAAGAAGAATTTCATCAATAAAATGCATAAACCATGCTATAATTTCTTGCAAATGCCTACCGAGGATATCCATGACAAAAGAAAAAACTTACAGGGGAATACAAATAAGGCGATGAATGTCAGCAACAGAGGCGGCAAACTTTTGCAAGGACAGCGGCGAACGTGAGTAAGGTTAGCGGGGAACATCGGCAACAGACCGGTCTAAATGGAGACGGCATTCAGTATAGGTCTCAGACGCAAGCAGAGCGAACCAAAACGAAGATGAAACAAAATGAGAAGAAAGACGACGGAGCGGGCGAAATAAGGCTTTCTCTGTTGGCTATTCCGACGGATTTTTCACTAGTAACATTACCCGCGCATATTACACAGGAAAATTATTGTCGAGTTTAAGTAAGCCGGCGCAATTAACGTTGGTGATTCTGTGGGAAATTTCGGCAGAAATTGCATCGGAATATAAAATATACCGGCAGAATGTACGTCGGTACCTTTACGGCGAAAAGTACACCGGTAATTTCATCGTAAATTTATAGTCGTATATTCCGTTGGTTAGTCTGCTGCTTATTCCGGTGCATGTATGTCCGCCGAAAATTTTGACGATAATGGAAGATTTTCCTGCAGTGTGTGACGGCTATACAGGTTAAATCTCAACTATGGAGGGAAAGGAGCATGTATACGAGGCATTATGGAAAATCCTTAGGTGCTTTCTATCCTCAATGTTCACTATTTTCTTTGTGACGCTGCGTAGTCTGCAGTTTGGTCTTTGCTACATCGAGGCACTAAATTAAATGAAATTTTCCATAAGCTTTGGCAATGTAATGTCCTTATCCAGCGCTAAGGCATTGAAGATGCTACGACACTGATAGTTTGGGTGTTGCGGTGCTAGTTCTAAACTTTATAAATTTTGCTCCATTTCCTGAGACATTCTTGTACAATATGAACTAAAATACACATCTTTAGTATAATTAACATAATAAAAATACTACAACCTTTTTACTTAACAACACCATACTTGCAGATGATATTAATCCATAAAAAGAATAGTGGATATCATATTGTCGAGTTCTTTAGCTTTAATCCACTTCATGTAATAATCGACAATGACTAAGAGGAACTTCCTCTGCCTTGAGGAAGGTGAGAATGGTCCTCTCATGTCCATTCCTCAAACTACGAAGGGCTATGGGTTACATGTTGTGAGACTATTATAATTGCATATGATCAAACTTTTGGCATTAAGGGCAACTTCTTGAGAATTCTTCAGCATCTTTCCTCAGAGTCAGCGAGAAATAATGCTACCTCATAATTTTTTGGGCTAGTGTCCTCCTTTTAAAGTGATTACCACACTCACCTAAGTGGATTTTCCTAAGTATTATTTCCTTCACATCCTCTCTAACATACCTCAAGTTAAGTGAGGTTATCGATCTTCTGAATAACTACCTCCTATGATTAGACAATTAGTAGCCTTGTTTTTGAATCATCGCTGGTTATCAACATCTAGCACCATCACTCATGTCTTCAACTAATCTTGAATAGGGTATATTCACTCATGTATTCAACTATTTTTGAATAAGGTATATCCAACTCACTAGTGACTAGCCTCCATCCGCAGAACTTTTCTTCTTCAATTGTGGGCCTTATTATTTTTACCACAGGTCATCGATCAAGGTTCACCTGCTTGGAGAAAAGGTCAGCAACTTCATTGTATTCTAAGAGGATCTGGGTTATCTTCAAGTATTTTAGTCTGCTAACCTCTGAATTCACTTTCAATAAATATTTTTGGAGCAGCTTGGCTCTAACTTTGTACTCATCATTTATCTAGTTTACTATCAGTTACAAGTCAAAGTACACCACCAGTTGAGTTGCTCCTAAACCTGCGGTGAGTTGTTGGTAAGTGAGTAAGGCTCCATATTTAGCTTCATATTTGTTACTATGAATTATATGCTGGCTATATGTGTGATGGTGGTTCCAATGGGACTTCTTCGAATTATGCATGCACCAACTTCCCATCACACAAGTCTCTATTGATTTGCAAACATTTATAGTGACCTGAAATCTATATAAGAATGGAGAGAAAGTAGGAATACTAGAGAAAAACTAGAGAGAAGATATAAAAAGAGTACTTAAAATTTAAAATCTCAATCAGCATAGAAATCTCAAGAGATCAAAAAAGTGCCAAAATGCTCCTAATCACCTATTATTTATAAGGTTTTAAGGGCTACAAAGAAATGTCTACAACCCAAAAAGTAAAAAAGTTGCAATGTTACACAAACTACCCTAGACACATGTCACCTCCTGATTACCTAAGAGAAAGTGATGGCTACAAAGTTCTGATGATCTATTTCTAGGTGAGCTTAGTACTGTCGAGTTGGTAGTGAGAGCAAGCTTGGTACAACCTAGTGAGAGTGGGTGAGTCTACGAGTGGGTTCCGAAGTAGCGTGCTTGATAACTGAGCGATGTCTGGGAGCCATATGGCGACCTGTGCTAAGTCTTGGAAAGCCTAGATTAGAAGGCCAATGATATGAGGTTGTGGAAAAGCTGAACTCAATGGTCAGTCAGTCAGCTATGAAAAGATGTAGTGAGGGCTCTCTAAGTAGGTGCTTTCCTGCAATTGGACTTAGATGTGTGGGAATAAAGGCACCCTCACCAGAAGGGAAAGTAGTTGTGGTAGCTACCTTCGATCCGCAAGGCGAGTGGCTAATTGCTTGATTGATGTACTCTCCATTGCCACAGAGAGGAGAGACCTCCCTTTGTTGACTCGACCGAGTGGGGCTTGATATTCGCTTGTCAAGTTTCTCCTTAGGGCCCATTAGATGCAAGTCCTCTCCTTGTAATCCAGTGACTATCTATTAAATACTTGTGAAGGCATATGTGAGTATACAATGTTGATGCATAACTATCTTTTAGCTTCTCTTAGCCAAGTACTCTCACATTGATCAAGGAAAAAGAAAATATCGATATATGAATGACACTTCAGCTGTGATATAAACAGAAAACTTTCTAGTGACAAATAAATATGTAAATCATCATTTGTGTGATAAAGTAATGCAATCATATTAACACAAGAGTATGACTAATACTGAGCAATCTAAGAGTAAAGCTTAATAGTAGAACTCATTAATAAAACATAAGTTGATTTATTGTGAATAAGAGCCTTTAAAGTATTAATAAAAGTTCTTTATTATTCATAAAATGATGTTGGAGGACTCGGATGACTAAATGTTTTCAGCAACATACAATGAAAGGAAACATTTTCACCCATTTGGTAAGACTTGCAGACAGTAAAATGAACGAGTAGACTCGTAAATCCAGAGAAAGAAAAAATCAGCTACAAACTAGTATAGATTACAAAATAACATAGTGAGACAATGCACTTGGCAAGATAATAAGTATAAGAAAGACCAAAGAAGCTCAATCCCAATTGACAAATTTTCTTAAATTTAAATTTGGACAAGGAAAGAAAATAATTCCACCGAAATTGTCGATAGAAAAAGTTGAAAAAAAAAAGTTCAATGAAAGGCATTAATGTTTAATATACCCAAAATAAAATTTGTACTAAAAAGAGATTGGAAGAGGATTTAATTATGAAGAAAGAAATATACACAATATATGAGGGAATTTACTCATCTAAAATTTTGAGGATTCACTCGCCATTAAATTCTAGGAACTCAAGTACATGGCTATATCATCATCATCACTTTTGGAAAAAACTCAACACCAAGTTTGATATTTAGTGAAGCACTTTCCTGACTTGATAGATTGGCACTTGTCAATGGTCTATATGCGAGCTAAGATAGGAAAAATTGTGCTAATAGCAATTTCATTCAGCCCCAAAAAAAGTGAAATTGAAAAGATGAATCAACAGAGATTTCATCACTAAGAGAAAAAAGTATATATATATATATATAAGATAACAAGGGTGCTCACTCACTCAAAACTATGTAAACTCACAAAACATTATATTGGAAAATCACTTATCCAAGTAAGAGGAATCTCACTTTTCACTCATAATATAAGCTCCTTCTCCAAACCCATTTATTCAAAGGCCTTTTATAGCTTTGAACATGAAATTACTCGGGTGGGTAGTGCTTAGGAATAAATGAAGTGATTGGTGCAACGATAGTCGATGATTGGGATAGCCAAGGGCTATCTCAAAAAATCATTTTATTAATTTTGATCAAGGCAACACTAGGATGCACAGGTAAGACATAGGACACATTAATTATTGAAAATATTAGATATGGATACGTCTTTGGTACGGCATTATAATTTTTATATCTTAAAAATAGCACAAAGAAATTAAATATGCTTAAGAATAATAAAGAAATGATAAGTCATTGAACTCTAACATTAACTTTAGTAAAGCTGAATTGTCTATAAATAATTATCTCGCTTATGATATCAGAAAACTAAGCATAAATTTTCTAGTACAACAGCAAGATTCAATATTCAATGATTAACTATTCACTAAAAAAAATAGGATTAGCTTCTTCATCATGTATTTGTCTTTGATCTTAAATTCATCATAATTAAATATTTTATATATAATGAAACAATGTTAGATGACAGTACTATCGATAAGGCATCAGCCATTGAAGCTGAAACGATGTTGGATGTTCTCGTAGAGGTGTCATGATGTCATGCCAGTACAATAACACAAGGGTGTGATTGTTTGTAGGAGATTGAACTTCATCGTTGACCCAACTTTGAGTGTATCAAACCATCAAAGTAAACATCTATCCATGCTTAGTGAAATGTTCAAGGGATGCAGCATACAAGGCGACTATAACATAAATAAAATTTTTAATAGAATATTATTTAAGATAAACATGTCTAATTTTCTTTAAATATTATTTTAGGCAGACACACCTTTGTTATGTCTGATGCATGTTGGACACTAAATACCTTCATAGAGAAGAGTGTCGATGCATTGTAGATGCACCAGTATTGATGTGATGTCTTGCATACACTTCTTTTCATAAGTAATGTGATACTAACAAAATAGAAATGGTAATCTTTTTGCTAATTTCATTTTTTCTTCAAAAATTAATCATGCCTACCATTAAAACTTGTTTAAGACTTAGTTATAGCTAAATAATTGATAACATCAATATTAGCTCCAAAAAAGAATTTTTCCTTCGAAAAAATAAAGTGGGCTATTAAGCTTACTTATAGCTTTAGTGAATATAAGTAAGCTAGGTTCGCCCTCATAGAGCCATTAGACAAAATATACTTTAAAATAAGCTCTCTCACTTGAGAAAGAGCAATGCCAAATCAAGTATTACAATCCTTTCAATGCAAGCATGTTTTTAAATAAGAAAGATGAACATCAAACACTATAGTTAGACTTACATTGACAATTTCAGGCCTGTACGCGATCTCAACATGGCCCTGAATTGGTGAAACCATGACACTTTCAACGCCCTCCTTAGCTCCCACTACCAATTCAATTGAAGCTGTACATGAAGCACAAGATATGCCTCCAATTTTGAACTTGATCTTTCTGGTTTTGAAGTCATCTCTCCGAGGAGCTTGAGCCATATTGATAGTCACATTCTCTGAAGATTGCAAAAGTGGGTCTAGGAGACTGCCTTTTCCATTCAAATCCATCTCTTACATCCACCTTTTCAGGCAAAAAAGGATGAAATTAAATCATTTGTCCCCAATAAAAATCAAATCGAAAGTACCAAACGGATACTAAACACTGGAAAAATGAAGGCAAAAACAGCTGACTGCTTATATGCTAAGATAAAAGATAATAATTCGAAAAATGAAAAGTAAAAAAAAAACAGTGCAAAATATAGAATAGTTACTGAATTGGACAATAATCAGGCCAATAGATAGAAATTTATATCGAATTTATTGAAATTTGCAGGCCTGTCCTTACTCACAAGCAATTTTAACATAGTAAATGAATATAAGCCCAAGGCAAAACGAACTAGAAGAAGAAGCAGAAATTCTAATAACAAGTAAAGATAAAGTTTAGGGTTTGCAATTAGACAACTGCGCAAATCCTAAATGAATCAGACAAAAAAAAGAAGACATGATCAAAAGTAACCAGAATCCTCAAGCATACCGATACTTCACAATTCTAAGCCGGCTGCGGTTGAGAAGCTAGGATTCTGGATGGTTGATTGGTTTGGTACCACAAGCAGGAGTTCCAAGGAGAGAGAAGAAAGGAGTGAGAAGAGGACGATGATGAGGACACGGTTGCCTTTGTTTGTGCGCGGGGGCACCAATAAACCGAGCTTTTTTAAGTGCGCGCCCGCTTTTCTTATCTTTTAATATTATTTTTTAAATTTGAACGTCTAACGTCTCCTGTACGGAGTTGGGACTGAATCAGTGCGGGAATCATCAGCTACCATTGGATGAACTAGGAACGTTCCGATGAAGACGCTTGTATGCGGGTAATCGCACGTGCGATTCTTCACGTATCAGAGATTGACAAGGAGTCGACCGAGTCGAGCATTGAAACAAACCGAAGGGGCGGCCGGTTTTTTTATTCTCTCTCTTTGAATAGTGAATAGCATATTTTAAATTTTTTTATATTATTTTTTAAAATTTAATATATTTATTGAGAGCCTTTTCAAAATAATCTTTATTTTGTAATTTTATTTTATTACTATTTTTGTATAAAATAAAATTATTTAGTATCTCAAGGAATTGAATTGTAGGGTAAATATGTGCTGACAAGTCCTAAGAACAAGGGACAACATCCAAGTGCAATAGTCAACTTGTCAAGAATAATCATCTTGTCCCCAAGACTAAATCATTGAGTCCTCAAGAGCAAGGGCCAAGTTCCTTGAATGATGATAGCTACAAAAAAAGGATGAATCTACCAAGTGAAGTTGTAGCCATAAGTTTCAGACGTGTGTACTTTTCATAGCTTGATCAGGAATGTCTACAATAAAAACAACAACAAGCCTTTATCCCATTATGTGTAGTCATCTACACGAATCCTTTTTTTCCATTATGTCCTATTAAGAGTCAAATTCTCATTTAAATCTAATAAAGAAAGATCATTTCTAATATTTTCTAACCAAATCTTTTTAGACATCTAGATTTAATAACATAAGCTAAAACTAATACATCTACTCTCCTAAAATGATCATCGTGTGAAACCCCTTAAGTTAAAGAAGCTAAAATCTTAAATAATGAGACATCTTTTGGTATAATGGTTGAAATTTTATTAAAAAACTTCGCAGTTAAGCATGCTCATCCCAAAGCAATTATAGGATGGGTGACCTACTAGGAAGTTACACCGACAAGATAGAACTGTGAGGCTCTTAGACCAAAGCGAACAATATCTCGATAGTTAAGATTTTGGGTTGTCATAAATGGCATCAGAGCAATAAAGTAGTCAGAATATGAGAACATATTAAGTATTACGCTATGGGAGCCACCTCTTGAACCCATATGGGACAAAATGCTACATAATAGGAGCCACCACTTAAACTTGTAGGGGCCACCTATAGAATCCTATCTAACTAGTAGATGATTCTGGGATAATGATGCAGATAAAGACATCAGTTACTTAAGTGAGGGAGATTGTGAAACCCCTTAAGTAAAAAAGGCTAAACACTTAAACATCGAGGCACCTTTAGGTGTAATTGTTGGAATTTCATTAAGAAACATTATACTTAAGCGTGCTCATCCGGAAGCAATTCTGGGATGGGTGACCTACTGTTAGGTTACACCAACATGATAAAATTGTGATGCTCTTAGACCAAAGCGGATAATATCTCAATAGTTAAGAGTTTGGACTATCACACATCGGAAGGCTACCATTTTACATGACCAAACTATCTAAGGCGACTCTCTCTAATCTTATTTATCACTGGAGCTACTCCAACCTTTTCACTAATATGCCTGTTTTGTATCTTATCACTAAGAGTAAATCCAATCATCCACCTGAGCATCCTCATCTCAACAACGCTTAACTTAATATTATGCTTCTCTTTTAATGGACATCATTTTGCATCATAAAGCGTTGCAAGTCATAGCACCATCTTATAAATTTTTTCCATAAACTTGAGTGGTACTTTTCTATCACACAACAAACTCGAAGCATTCCTCCACTTCAATCATCCAACTTGAATTCTGTTAATAATATCCCCAGCTATTTCACCATCACTCTTAACAATATACCCAATATATCTAAAATGAGCACACTTATTAATGACTTGATCGCTCAAATTTAAAAATTGACCAATAGATATATTAATACTAAAATTACACTCCATGTATTTGGCTTTAGATCTACTCAAGCGAAAACCTTTAGACTATAAGGTTGACCTCCATAATTCGAGTTTCCCTTCAACTCCCTCTCAAGTCTTATCAACAAGAAGAATATCATAGCCAAAAAAAGCATACACCAGGGTACATCCTCTTGCAAATTTCTAGTAAGAACATCCATGACTAAAGAAAAAAAGATAAGGTCTTAAGGTTGATCCTTGATGTAATCCAACTTAAAAAGGAAAATACTCAGTCAAACCACCTTATGTTTGAACACAAGTAACAACTCATGCATACATATCCTTAATAACTTGAATATAAGCATTATTAATCCCTTTCTTTTCTAAAACTCTCCATAGCAGTTATCTTAGAACTTTGTCATATGTTTTCTTTAAATCAATAAATATCATATGGAAGGAAAATTGCATTGGTCATAGAAAGATAATAAGTGTGAGAGGGCTCAATTCAGGCAAGTGGTCCTCAAGGCATGGATAGGTCTGAGTGCGACCTTTATAGGTCAAAAATGACTGCATCCTTGATTTATTCTCTTATGCTAAGTTTGTACACAATAATCTTTATATGAGAAATGGTTCTTTTCACCACAAGTTGTCGCTTCACCCATTTTGGTGAGTAACACTTTGATCAATTGATGTCCCTAATCAAGTCCCATGATAGGAACTTGTTAGATACCTATGAATTACCTACAAAGGTATATATGAATATGTGTTTAATTCACTGGTTCTCTTGCTCATTTAAAAAAGATGAGTTGCAAAAAAAAAAAAAAGCATAAGGAGTATTTAATATTGTACGGGATAATATAAATCGTAAGAGTTACATCTCTGTCATTATTGTTTCCTCGAGCGTAGAGCACCATTTTTTAGATGCTTTATTATGACTATGATTTGATGTTATGCACTATCTTTAGCTATAAATAGCAACTACATAAGCATGTGTTACTAACTCGCTCAAGATGGACAATCTAGGTCATTCAAAGCTTGTTGAAATGACTGATAAGTAACTGAAGAAGCTACTTCTCCATAAATACAAGCTAGCATAGTGTAAGGATAAAAAGTCTAGCTCACTAGTAAGCAAGAAGAAGATGGTGATTATTAAGGCAAGCATGATCTTCAGAGCTGAACAAGCTGATAATGACTTCACTAAGGGAGACTAAAAAACATTTATTTGAGCAAGGTGATGGTGGTAAAAGAGAGCTTGGAGAGGTTGATCATCTCATCAAGCTATGTTAATGTCACACTCTTTATAAGGCTCATGAGACGAGTCTCATCTTCATAAAAATATGAAGTCCAATGGCCCCTAGAATCAAATCTAAAAGAATTATTAATTTTATCTTTTATAGTTTATAATAACGACCATCATAACTATTTAATTTTTTTTATCAGTAATAAAATCATAGCAACGGAGATCATCCTACGTGTCAAAATATTAATACACATCTGTATTCATACTCCAAAACTCACGTACAATAGCCAAGAGTTACATAATTATAATATAGAATTTATATGCCCATGACTACAACAGAATAACTAAACAAAACTAGAAAAAATAACAAAAAAAAATTTGAAGTTCATATAACTGATCAATTTCACACTCCCGATCTTTCTGCCCTGACCTGTGTCGACCTTCACGCATATGTCAAAATAGCATGAGCGAAGGCGAAGATCAAAAAACACAACTTTTGGTAAGCGCGACGCTTCACGTAAATGCTCAAATGATCTCTGCTAGTTGAATATATCACGTTGATGCAATCAGAGCACCGAATTTAGCTAAGGGAGGACCCCTCACAGTTGAATTGAACAAAGGTTATCAAAATAGGCAAATTACAAGCACAATGACGCACTACGTTTCCCGAATGACATATGTTTGCAAAATGGACTTTGTCGTTGTGCCCAGAATATCAACAATACCCAAAAATGTCTGTAATATTATATGGTTCATTCGAGCGAGCAAAAATGTGAATTCTGCATGAGTTTCGAGGAGACCATGATATAAATTTTGAGGCGATAATGGCATGAACAATGAGAAATGGCTTGAATAATGAATTCATTTTATTGGCTATTTAAATTAGTTTTAACATATATATTTAAACCCTAGCCCAACTCCTCTAACAACTTGACATCACACACTTTCCAGCACCTTCAACCCTTGACTAATAGACAACTTCCTATCCCTTTCTTGCTCTCTCCCTGCCCCTTTCTCTCTACATATATATTATAAAAATGAGGAAAAATTAGAAAACAAGAAAGAGAGATTTTCACAAAAAAAGGAGAGGGATTTGTGTGCTTTCGTTGCTCTAAGAAACGTCATCATCACCTCTATCGCACAAGCTATAATTTCCCTTCCCTAAACTAAAAAAACAAAAAAATCCCTAAATCTTGCTTTATGTATTTACAGCGCAACAAGTGAACCAACTATATATGATTTTCTTAACATGATGGGAGGGAGCTTGATGTGATGCTTGCGACGAGGCGGGTGAGCCTTGTGCAAGCTTTTCTTAGCATAGCGGAGTAAAACTTAAATACATGTATGCGCTTTTTGACGGGCAGGAAAAACTTGCAAAGTTTCATGCAGGTACCCTTTCAACCCATGCGTCTTTCTTGGCATAGTGGTAGTAGATCACACTCGCGGCGGCGCCCGACACTGATCATGCACTTCTTTCTAGATGTGATGGGCAAGCTTAGACTCCCCAAAATTCCTCTAAACGAGGTAGACACCGTGAGTCTGATAAAATTTGGACCGATAATGAACATGACTTAAGCAAAATCACAGAGAACATAACATAAACTAATTAGCAAGAAATTTGTTGTGGACAAAATTACAAACATTACTTTCTTGCAAGCAAATATCAACAAAATTTATGAAGAATATGGCAATTTTCTTGCAAGAAATAACATAAATTTTTAACAAACATTAAAGAGTTATCATGTTGGCCGAAATGCAAACATCAATAAGCGAA